GGGCGATCTCCAGAACAGGTGTCTCTTCCTTCTTTCTTTCTTTCTTTCTTTCTTTCTTTCTTTCTTTCTTTCTTTCTTTCTTTCTTTCTCTTTCTCTTTCCCTCTCTCTCTCTCCCTCCCTCCCCCTCTCTCTCTTTACCAGAGGGGGTTTGTTCTTTCTCTTTCTCTCCCCACTCCCCTCATTCCCCACCCACCCCCCCAAACGCCAAGAAAAGGTGTAACCGAATGCCACAAGGACACCCGCTTCCTAGTAAGGTTGCTCCTTGCGAGCCCTCGCTCTATGCAGGCAGCTGCGTTTGGGGAGGGGGGGGAATGCAGATTTTGGAAGGATACAAATGCAACTTTCTGAGTTGGAGTAGTCTGGGTGCTGTGGGAGAAACGGGGAGAAAAAGAACCAACTGAAATATCGGTCCAAGTACTAGAGTCGCCGATGGGTCTGGTCTAAAGAAAATATTATTAGGAGGAGGAGAGGGAGAGGCCAGCGAGCTTAACGACGCTTAGAGCCAGTTACTCTGCGGAAGATACAGCAAAAAGTAGTTCTCTATTATGTGAGACGCGTGCCTAGAAAATGCTCTTTTCCATGCAGGAAAAGAAAAACCTTACCCAGATTCACTATCTCAAATTGGGTATCAATTGGATGTCCCGTTCGCGGGTATAATATTGCACCCGAGGCCGACCCGTGGAAGGCAACAGGTTTAATATTCCCACTCGCCCACAGCAATTGAATACAGCTATGGTCGGGGGCGCCTTTCCCTCTGCGCTGAAGACCACCAGCAAGTCCAAACGGGTCTTTTGAAGAAGTTATCTAAGGATGGGCTCCTGCACGAATCCGAAAGCTCGGAAGACTGAACCTCTGGTCCCGGTGACCGACCCAGGATTAGATCTCCAAGTAGATCCGATTTTCCGTCGCAGTTGCCTTTCCACAATCTTTCTTCTTTATTGGTGAAGCTTTTAAAAAAAAACCCTTTTCCTTCGCCTTGGCCTTCCCTTCTCAAGTCCTTTCCCAGCACTCACAACTCTGAAATATCAAGGTCGGGCCAAGAGAAGCTGCCGGGCTGGCACGGAAATGTCCCACCTAAAATACTTATGGTGTAAGTACCATTAGGCCGATTCCGGATGCAGCCTCTAACTAGGAGCGCTGAATGCAGAGGGTTACAAAATTCTGGCAGAAAACCTCCAAGCAAGGAGTAAAAGAGGAAATATTACCCGCAGTTCCTTTCAAAAGTAGCCTAAGAAACAGCCCCTTGCCTGGGAAGGACAAAACACAATTTCTTTTTTTAAAAAACTCAAAATATCACAGGTTTCCCCAAAGACCGTGAAGGGCAGGAATTCGAGACGGTCTTAAAGCCGGATCGGAAAATTCGCTCCACTTATGCTTGTTGGGACCTTATTTTTTAAATAAAAAAGTAGCAAGGCAAGGAGAGACACATACCTAAGCTGCCAAATAAACCCTTGACTGAAAGGATCGACCAAGAGGAGCTTCAGAAAAGACCCCCCCCCCGCCCTCCCGCCCTCCCTGGGTTCTATTTGGAAAGTCAGGCTGAAAAATGGAGCGCAGGAGGCGGCAGTTCCAATGTCATCAATGGGGACGCGAAATCTGCTATAAAAGGTATTTTGCAGGAGAAGATTAAGCGCCCTTAAAATCCCTCCAGATCAAGCAAAGGACTTTTTTCTTTCTTTCTCCGCGTCTGGAAAGGGGTGGGTGGGGGGAATCAAGGTAGAAAAAATCAATAAGGAAACGGCGAATCCACAGATTCCGTCTTATGTGGCTTGAAACCGCGGGCTGCCGTGGGAAAAGCCGCGTCCGTGGTTTTAGCGGCCTGAGAGAAGCGGAGTGAGGCGGGGGGTGGGGGGTTGGGGGGGAGCTTTCATTTGTAAAAGGGGCTTTGAATGATGGGGCGGAAGGTCTGGAGGACTCCAATGGCATCAACGCCGCACTTATTAATTTTTTTGAGAATTTATGGCTTGCACCCAGAAGGGGCAAGGAGAAGGAAAACGAAGTTTACGCCTAACTAAACTCCCATTCCGCGGGATTTATTTAATCGTTGGGGAGATAAATCAGCGGGTGGATTTACAGCCGTTTGAAAGAAACTCCGACGACTTTTATCGCGGAAGCTTCAAGCGGCCTCGCTCCGGCCCCGCCCCCCCCGCGCAGCCCCGCCCCCGCCCGGCCCGCAGAGCCAGGCGGAGGCAAAGGCCAGCAGCCATTGGCTGAGAGCGGCGGCCGCGGAGGAGATCCCGGCCAATCGGAGCAGCGCGGCTGGCAGGTGGCGGCGAGGTTATCAGCGCGCCTCGTCCCGAGCGGAGAGTCCGCGGACGGGGCGCTTTCGCCGGCAGGGAAGCTCAGCGGAGGCCGGGAAGGAAACGGGGACCGGAGGCTCCGCTTCGCCCCCTGCAGGATCTCCAACCGGGGCTTTTCCCCCCTTTCTTTCCCCCCCCCCCAAAGGCAGGAAAGCCGGCGGAACCCTGGAGCGGCCCGGGGCGGTTCCTCCCGCGCCGCCTTCCCCGGGCGACGACCGCCGCGCCCAGCCGCCCTTCCTCCTCCTCCCCTGGCCGGAGAAGCTCCCACCGCGGGCGATCGCGGCTGGGCTGGCTCTCCTCGGCAGACGAGCGGGACTCGGGACGGCCGCGGCCTCCGCTCGGCGCCCTCCACGTGGGGCCAAACTTGGCCAGCCGTCTCGGTTGTTTCGAGGAGGCTCCCGCCGGCGCTTTCCCCCACTAGCAGGACGGGAAGCGGCGGCGGCGGCTCCCCTGCTCTCCCCGCCCCGCCGCCCCTGGATGCTGCCCGATGCTAGCGGTGGGGCCGATGGAGGCTAACCGGCAGGGCGCCTTCGTGCTGAGCACTACGCCGCTGGCCGCGCTGCACAACATGGCCGAGATGAAGACCTCGCTCTTCCCCTACGCCCTGCAGAGCCCCGCCGGCTTCAAGGCGCCCGCCCTGGGCGGCCTCAACGCGCAGATCCCGCTGGGGACGCCGCACGGCATCAGCGACATCCTGGGCAGACCCGTCGCCGCCGCCGCCGCCGCCGGGAACCTGCTCTCCGGCCTGCCCCGCCTGAACGGACTGGCCGCCGCGGGGATGTACTTCAACCCGGCCGCCGTCTCCAGATACCCCAAGCCCTTGGCCGAGCTGCCCGGGCGGCCCCCCATTTTCTGGCCCGGAGTTATGCAGGGCTCGCCCTGGAGGGACCCCCGGCTCGTCTGCCCCGGTAAGGCGGGTCTTCTGGGGGAGGGTGGGTGGGGGGAGGTGGCAGGTGGAGATCCCGGGGGATCCTTTGGATCCCTTTCGATCTTTCACCGCCCGTTGCATGGGACCCCCGTCCACTCTCTCTGCCCATTCCCCCTCGGCGCTCTGCCCGGATCCCCTCGCCTTGGCCGGGACGCCGATGTGGCCGCAGCCGTTCCTAGGACATCGGAACCAAACGCGGCTCTCGGGCGCCAAGTGGCCGAGCTTGCCGGGTAGCGGACTCCGCCGGAGGGTCTCGTCCCGTTCGGAGGCCCCCCGTCCGGGCTTCTCCTGCTGCCGCCTCCGCCGCCCGTTGAGCCAGGCGGGGAGAGCCGAGGCGGCCTTTCCCGAGGCTGCGCGGGGCGGGCAAAGGGCTCCTTTCGATTTGCCGCTCGGCCTTCGCCCTCGCCCCGGAGACGCCGGCTCCGTCCTCTTGGCTGCCGGCGAGGGATGGCGGCGGAGCGCCGAGGCCGGCGTGGCGGCGGTTCCGCTGCCCCTTCGGAGCCCCCGGAGGCGCTGACGGGGCCGCTCTCCCTCTCCCCCGTTTTCAGCCCAGGCCGGGATGGTCCTGGACAAGGACGGCAAGAAGAAGCACTCGCGGCCCACCTTCTCGGGCCAGCAGATATTCGCGCTGGAGAAGACCTTCGAGCAGACCAAGTACCTGGCCGGCCCGGAGAGAGCCCGCCTCGCCTACTCGCTGGGGATGACGGAGAGCCAAGTCAAGGTAGGGCGCCCAGCGCAGCGGCTCCGAAGCGGATTCAGACCGAGGAGGGAGGGAGGGAGGCGGGCTAGATTGGACTAGCAAACTCCCAGCCTCTCCGGGGCCCCGCAGTTTGCAAGATGGGAGCCCTACTTAGCCCCCCTCCTCCCTCCCTCCCTCCTCGGCCTGAACTAGGACGGAGGGTCTCCAAGGAAGGCAACGGACCCTTAGAGGTTGAGGCTCGTTCAGATCCAGAGGAAGCGTCCCCGAAGCGGCGCTAGGGAGGATTCGCAGCTTCCCTGGATTGGATCCAGGCTGGGCCGCTTTTTCTTAGGGAGGCACTTGGTCTTGCCGTGAGGGAACCCAAGACACGGGTCTCTTAGAGCAAAATTAGGTTTGCTGTCAAAGGCTTCCTGACAGGCAGCTCATATTAATGCACACAGTTCGAACTTCAAAAAAAACAAAACCAAAACGAAACAAAAAAGCAAATCCTGAACTTTGGGAAACTTTTGTTATTTAGCATAGATCACATTCTTCGTTGCACAATTTGCCAAAATTAAAAATTGCTAGGATTAAATAACGTTATGAAGAGGTTAAATGTAAAAATGGTTTTTTCAGTCTTTCTCCCTGGCTCCAAACTTGCTCCAAACAGATTAACTAACCTCGTGGCTGTTTTACCTTTTCACTCATCTTAAGTTCTAGCAATGAGATAAACTGAAACTTTTTAAGGTCTGGGGGGAAAACCAAGTTTCCGGCAAGATGCAAATTATTTAAAAATGAGAGAACCTTTTTGGAAATAAAAGCTAATTAATTGAAAGTTTCCTTGTGGCCAAGTTTGAGAGAACCTTTGCATTACAAATCCCCTCAAAGAGCTTTTCTTCAGACTAGAGTTCAGAGGGGCAATTTCACCATTTTCTCAGGAACCAGGAAAGGAATCAGAAGTATTTTACTTAATGGGGGATTGTGGAATAACCCACCTGTTGAACCGAAAATAAAATACTTCTATGCCAAACCCTAAACATGAATTGGAATCAGATGCTTTCATTACAAATTCAAAGATTATCTCTTCCTGAATATAAGAAAGCCTCTTTTTGGGCAAAGTTAGCGCCTACCTGTTTTAGTCTTTGTAGAAGGCTGGGATTTCTCTCACAACTCCGTTCTATGGTCATTCTTAGAATGAATTGTCCTGAAAACAAAAGAAATAATAGTCTTAAAGGTTGCCTTATTTTCTAGTGTTACAGAAGGACAAAAGGGGATATTAATATGAGCTAACGTGTCTTATGCCTTTAAGAGGCCAAGGGTCTTGCTTAATGTGCGGCTAACAGCCTGATGCACTTTAGAGATGGACCTCACCGTACTGAGATTTAATCCATATTCCGAGCAAGGTTTTTTTTAAATTTGATTAATTTAGAAAAAAGAGAAGTTAAGTTTTAAGTTTTCAAGTGGAAGATATTTAGATAGTATTAGCACCAATCCAGTAATTAATACCAAGATATCCAAAGAATTTCAAACCCCCCCCTTCCCCTGCAAAGTTAGCAATTAATCCCAAGGGGGCTTCTTGGAAAGCGAGCTCTATTGAGTTCAGCTGGTTTTTGTTTTGGTGAAGAAAGTGGTTCATCTGTATTTCAAAGAGGCTTGCTGGGAGCGCTCCTTAAATCAAAGGAGACTTTGCCTCAGAGGAAATCTGCTTACAGTTGAAAACCCTCCTATTTGAAAGCAGGGTCCTTAGAAATTTCCTTCCTACAAATTACTAACTTTGGAATTAGTGGCGGGTGAGTGAATGGGGTGTCATGGTTTAGAGGCTGTGCGTCTGCACATAAGCAAATTCTTCCGCAGGTGTCTCCTGCAGAAGCATCGCAAGGCAGTCAGCTGAGGAATAATTATACCAAGTTCCAGATTCTAAGGGCAAAATGTGATTTTAAAAAATGTACATGAGCTTCCACCTAATCACAGGACCCTAAACTAAATTTTCTTGGAATTGTGCAGGAACTCAGAAAAAAAGATGTAGCTGCACAAAAGTGATATTGACTTAAGTTTTTGTGGGTACCACATATGCCCTGAATTGCTCTGATCTTTAAATCCAGACTGCTGCACTATTTTAGCATAATATTTAATGTCAGGGCACTCAGTGGGATATATAGAGAACCTACTGTCAATAGATCTCCGGGACAAGAACTCCTGGCGTTTGTGCATTTGCATGGAAATGTCTATTTTTGTGGCTCTGAGGTGCAGCTGGTCATAAAGGTGGGGGGATTTAAATAGCATATTATCTTCAGCATTAGCAGTCGGGATATCATTAAGTGGCATTCTCTGCCTTATGCTCATCTTAAGTATCTGAAACCTATTTAAGAATAAAAATGTGTACGGTTCAAATTAATTTGTTCAAAACAAGCCCTGTTGCTCTTATAGCTAAATTCCACTCAGATCCTGGAGTTCTAGTTGTGAAACCTATTCACAGTTTTGGGGAACTGACATTTTACAGGCTGAAACTCCAAACTGGAGTTTTTAAAATAGGAAGCGTTCTTTTAAAACAAAACAAAAGCACAATTCGTGAAATGACCAAAATAATAATAATAATAATATAGGCGGAATGAAGAATTCTACTTTGAGGATGAAACTCCCCTCTTTTTCTCCCTGATTCTTGGCTGAGTGAAAAGCTTTTCTTTTTTAAGCTTAAAAAAGGTTTAGAGACTTAAAAAAAAACTTTTAAATAAACGTTTAGTAAAATTCAGGTCTTGCTTTTTCCTCTATCCTCCCTCCCTCCCTAAAATTTGAAATAATTCCATTTACATTTTGAGAGCGTTTCTGGCCCTTCAGCTGCTCCATTGGCCAGTCTTCCTTTCCACCAAAATATCCATTTTGCTGCTTTTGCTGGACTGAAATCCGGGGAAAGCCGAATAGCCTTTGCAATT